CCCTTTTCAGACAAACCACTCGACAAATCTAACACGCCTCCTTCGACCCAATTTACCGACCCTAAAGGTTACACGAGAAACCTGACTGACTCGCCGTTTTACGATAACAACGTTAGTTCTTGATCCGAAAATTTTCGAGATCCATCCATGCTATTTCAAGGCTGGAAAAATGTCATCTCTTGCACTTACAGCCGCTTACTTCAGCAAGCGGAAATCACAGAAATCACACACACTATTCCTGCAGCTACCTCAATGCAATCACGATTGCTACTTTTGCAAGATTTTATTGCTAGAGATGAGAAAATACTATAACATTCGCAATAATACACATTAATAAATGATATTTTTAATTTATATTTTAATCCAGGCCAATTTTATTTGGTGGCTTACGTTACATTCATCTCTCAAAAGAGGGTGTAAGGGTGGTATAAAGAAAAAATTCATGTTAAACATTTTTCCTTCAGGAGACTTACTCGAATTTTTATGCTTTACTTAAGATTTTCGACTTTCGGTAGGATTTTCGAATTTCGACATTTCGGCAAATCAAATCCTGTTCAAAAGTACTTTCGGTAGACTTTTGATTTCGGTAGGTACCGAAAATACCTACTTTCGGAGCCATCGTTAATCCTGTGCAAAACACCTCATATTAAAATATAATACTTGAACAATTTAAACTAAGAAAAGAAAATTTAGTTGAGTAGACCTAATCTTGATACGTAATAATAGGGTTTTCAATTTTGATAGTAATTAGATTAAGTTTCATTTTGCATAAAAATCGAAATTTATATTTTTATTTATTTCTACATTTTTATACTAGATTACTTATTTTTAAGAATATGCAATATATAATGTGATAGGCATCTTTTTGTGAATTTTAAAAAAATATCATTATCTTTATTAACAGCTTATTTATAACTTATAGACCTGCCATCGACAATTGATACCAAAAATTTTTTCATATTGCAGTTCATGACTATAAATTGAATGAAATATCCTATGATAAATTTGGAAAACTGAAATATATATTTCGTGGACTTCTTGTGAATCAATATAGAATGAAAAGGTTGCTGTAAAAGAAATATATATTCCAGCAGATGATGATGAAAACAAATTAGAATGGTTCTTAATAAGGCTTGTATTGTTAAGGTTTAGTGAAGATATTATATTAGTATATCCATATAAATAACAAAAATTTCAAACCTGCTAATCTTTCTTGAAAAAATTAGAAGTACAAATGGTTGAAGGAATATCTTATTTACACATTAAGATGATCACTCATCGCGATTTGGTATGCATTATTTTAAAACTAATTGATTTAAAAGTAATTTTAATCTAACAACTAATATTAGCATTCAAATAACATACTCATTCATCATGGAATCATAAAAATCTCTGGTTTTGGTTTATCAAAAGATCTTAACAATAAAATGTCATCTAAAAGTAATTTTTTTGGATACTTCCTTATGTTGATCCCAAAAGATTCTTGATAAAAAATACGTTCTAGGTAAACGGTCGGATCGGTGTCCTTCTTTGGGAATTTTCAAGCTGCAGAGTTCCATTTGAAGTGGAGGATTCAGTTCTTTAAGTTTTACAAAGGTTGGCAGAAAAGCCCATAAATGAACTCTTTTGCAATATGTTGAATTATATCCTAAATATTGGGATTAGAGATCCTTTCAAACGAGCAAATTTTATAGCTTGAATTTTCTGAAATACAAGCCAGTTTATTTTAAATCTAATGAAAATTCAAATTCATGAACATTTATTATCATTAGTGTTTAGTTATGCCAATGAATAAGTTAATTACAAGGACTATTATGCTTATTTCTATAATATTGCTGATTATGAATTTTATGCTGTTTAAAATTTATCTGATCTGAAACGAAGGTACCAATTTTTGCTTTCTAAAAAGTAAATAAATAGATAACAATGCTGGCTTATATACTAATAAGTTGTCTCTTGTCATTTGAATTTTCTTTACTCTAAATTTCAGAATCCATCATTACGAGCCTTGTCTTACTAAAATTTTTTTTTACTAATACGGTATTTTCTAACGCTAACAACACTACACAACACAAAGCCCGACACGTGAGTAAAGCTATGAAAAACAGGAAAAAAATAAAAAGCGAAAATACAATTAAAAATGACGGGAGTGAAATTGTACATGTAGAAGTGATGGTTTATTTCTTTCTTCTCTAACTTTAAGTCCTAACCCTAAAATTTTTAATTTATTTTTATGTTGAATTTCCTTTTTTGGATTTGTATCACTCGCATAAGACCGTTTCTCTTGCAAGTTTGCCCTGAAATTTTTTAAATAATTTTAAATATTAATTTTAGCTATATACTTTATAAATAAAAAATATATTTTTAAATATATTCTAATAACCTAATTAAGAAAAAATTTTAAATTTATTAAAAAATTTAGAAGTAAAAAAAACTTAAAGTTTTTAATTTGAATTTTTTTTTTACTATAAAATTTTTCTTTAAATTTTTTAAAAGTTTAGAAATTTTTTAAAAAATAGATTAGAGGTATTTTTATAGTAAAATTCGCCCTAGCTTTAAGAGATAAGTGACGTAATCGAAATACTTTCCCGACCTTTTTTACTTGCTTGGCCCGTTATATAAGACTAAGTATAAGGGCTGTTTAACGTTAATTTTCGTCGCAGATGATACTGAGATTTCAAACTATTTGTTTTTAAGGTTAAGGGTTAGAATTATTAATAAAATAATATAGGTCAAATTGATGCCCAAAATTTTAGCGTTATTCAGTTTCTGTCATCCGCGACAGCTTTTATATTTTTTCTATTTTCATTATTATTATGTAAATAACAAATGTTACATCCTGCTTTGCACCACATTGATCCCTTAATTAGCCAAATAGTTTAATTAGTGTAAAATACAACTACATGTACCGGTACGCATGTATTTTGTATGTACATATATACACAGCATATTCTATATCCTTTCAAAACAAAATCGCATTATGATAAATTTTTGCTTCTTTTACTAAATTATTGTTTATCCTTTATATAACTAACCTAATGCAAACACATACTTATTACCATTTTAGCTACGTATTATTTTTGGCTGTATCCTTGGTCATTTATTCTATCGCCTCAGCAGTAACTGTAAATGTTACTGTCGGCGGTGGTGCATTGACTTTTAACCCACAAAATATTAGTGTAAATAAAAATGATGTGGTAAATATATTAGTACATTAGTTTATTTTATTTGCAATATAAGTATTAGCAAATATGTGTTAATTTGTATTTTGCCTCTTCAATTCATTTTCATCATAGATCCAATTCAATTGGGCAAGTGGCAATCACTCTATCATTCGATCCGATGCCCTAGCTATGTGTACCCCATCTACTTCCCTTAAAGGAGGCAATGCTAGTAATTATAACCTTTATATATTCCTTTTTCATTTTATATTAACTTTCATATTATTTTCATATTATAACCCTGCTATATTTGCTTTGATTTTAGTCATTTCTGAAGCAAAAACCAGCGGTATGGCAACATTTCTAGTTGATGGCTCTGATTCAAATATCTGGTATTATTGCGGCGTAGGCATTCACTGCAGAATGGGTATGTGGGGTATGATCACTTTGAAAGGTACTGGTACTAACAATAATCCAGGTATAAAATCTAGTAATTATTCAAAATTTATATGCTTATTTCTTCGAATAAAACTAATTCATTTCGAATTAATTTATTTTAGCAAATCCATCTTCAAATGATTCCTCCTCTTCGAGTCAAGGAATAAGTGGAGTTATTATTGGAATCATTGTTGGTGCTGGACTAATATTTATCGCCATAGTTACTGGATCCTTTTATTTTATAAAATTAAAAAATCGTCGTGATAAACCTGTCTTAACATCTTATAATTATGCTGATGATGTTCCAACGGTTAATGCTAATACTCATGCAAGTAAACCGTTTGTTACTTAGTTAAATATGAGTAACTAGTGTTTCATATTCTTTCTGTAATCATTTTTTAATATTTAATGGCAAAGAAATTGGTTAATAGATAATCTTACAGACATTATGAATATTTAGTATTTGGATATAGTCGAGTGGTAATTCTTTAGTGAATTTATCGGATATCTGCAACTGTCTGTTTTATTATTATAAAAGCGACGTTGATAAAGTTATAATTTACGAACTTCATATATGTTTAATATGCAATTAATCAATTGTTCGTAGAAATAAACCAAAGCTTTATTTTCAGTTTAATTGCAAATACAAAAGAAACTCGTATATATGAAACGAATAACATTTAGATTCTTCAAAATTAGATTGTTAAAATACTCTCTGTTTTCTAAATGATATTAAACCTTGTATGTAAATAGATATTTTAATGTACCCGATTTTATAAAACAAGACTAATCATGAAAGTTCACTTAAATAAAAGCTAACAATGTCATCTCTCGAAAGAAAACCATCGATAATGTTTGATTACGATTATATTATTCTTTAATGGTTAAAGTATTTAAATCACTATCTAGAATGAAATGACTCATTAACAATAAGCAGTAAACTTATTTAATTAAAAAATTAATTTACTATTTACATTGATAAGACAAGGTAGAGGTATTATTAATTAATAAGCTTAATAATTTTTCAGATTCAGATAATTCTAATAGAATATTTTCATCGTTTTGCCATTCTGTAAAAGTTTCAACAATTTTTACTGTTGATGGGCGTTTTTCTGATTCCTTTCCCAACATTCTTTCATAATATTTATATAACGTTGTGTGCATCTTCAATAATAGGAGGTCGAAGGTCATTATGACATATTTCAAGTTGAAGTTACGATCCAAACTTTTGATCATAAAACACGGGTTTTCCATATAAAATTTCCCACATAATCATCCCAAATGAGTAAATATCAGATGTTGTAGTATATTGACCTCCATTCAAAATTTCTGGTGCTACATATGGTAAAATTCCAAATATACTTCCATACTCTTCTTTCAACGATATATTTGCAGATACAGAAAGCCCAAATCTGTAACATACGCACTATGTAAATTATCTTGTAAAATATTCCGCTATGTAAACCTCGATGAATAAGTTTTTGTGAATGGATTGCTTGAAGTTCAGAGGCAATACAAAATAAAAGCATCACTTATTTTTCCATTCCATTTATGCTACTAAATGAAGATTTTTACGTAATGATCCCATTTTTGCATATTTCCATAACAAGGATATAATCCTTAGAAATATTATTTAAAGAATGAAGGATTTTCGCAACCAATATAATTATTCCTTTGACTTTTTAAAAAAATAACTAAATATATAAATATATAAAATTAATAAGACAATATAATATTAAATAAGATCACCTCCATGAATATTTCATGGTATTTGTTTGAACCATGTAACAATTTAAATGCAATAGGTCCTTTGGTATTTCAGTTTTGATCTACCCTGCCCTATCTCTTTAATGTTTTTAAATTTATTATAAGGAGTCCACGATAATGGGTACTTATTCTCAAGTAATACTTCTTTCAACCTGTCATCAAAGTCAGAATTTTCATATATCCATTCATTCGTAACTAAGAATTTAGTCATTAGATTTAAAGTTTTATCTTTCTAGTAGTTAAATACAGTCAGACCTCAATATAATAATTGATGGAAAAAATGTGTCAATGTATAAAGAAAAATGTATAAAGGTTGTGACCGTCAGTCAAAAGTAACTATAATGAAGGTCTGACTGTAGCGACAAATATTACTTGAAATTTGATTTTTTTCTCTAATTTATAATTGATATAATTAATAAAATTATAAACGATTATAAACGAGTGCTGACAATAAAATAGACACTTTTCATGACACTAATTGACTTTTTACAAATTTCTTACTACTCCAATTTTATTACAGTAACAATAACCAACTTGATACATTCCTCCATTTCAGCAGATATTTTGCAATAAGTAAATAATTTATGTTCATCTTTATTAATACCACATTTTGATAACCAAGATTATATGTCCCACTCGAATGACCATTGTCGGCGATTTTTGATAATAAATAAATGCTTTATGATTATTTTGTTTAACACCAGTTCCATTTTGATAACAATAACCAAATCGATTCATCATACCTGTATGTTCCCCATTTTAGCAAATTTTTAATAGTAAATAAATCCCTTATGTGAATCTTTTTCAACACTAATTCCATCATAGTAACAAGAAGCTAGATTATGTATTTATATATTCTATCAGGGTTTCCAAACTCTGCAGATTTTTGATAATAAAGAAATGCCTTACGCTCATTTTTTCAACACCAATTCCATTTCTATAACAATAACCAACTTGAAACACTCCATCTAGATTTTTCATCTCAGATTTTTTAGCAATAAATGAATGAAATATCCTATGATAAATTTGGAAAACTGAAATATATATTTCGTGGACTTCTTGTGAATCAATATAGAATG